TACCTAGTGCCACTCTGACAAGAATGTATCACAAATGGGATGGCTTGAAAAAACAGGAGTTTATTCTTACAATTTGGAGGCTTTAAGTCCAAGTTCAGAATGCCAGGTTCTAGGGGTTGTGTGAAAGCCCCTCAACCTTGGGCTTCAGCTCTGCCTCTTGCTCCCAGCCCACTGAAGCTACAGGAATCTCTTCACTCAGCAGCTACTGGCTGCTGAGGCTAACAAGCCTAAGGTTGACAAATAAAATGGCACAGTCCCGATGTTACCAAACCACATGGCAGGCCATTAATTCAAGTCCATTGTAAGTCCCAACATCAGCAGAGCATGGCCAGCTGCTGCACAACACACCTGCATGCAGGGTCCAAGCATGCCATAAGCTAGAGACCATTCCCCAAGGTTTCTGCTTATATACAGGAAGCAGACCACATCCCTAAGGCAGCTACTCATCTCACAGTAGATTCCACCATAGAGTAGATTACCAGTCTCATCATGGGGAATACTACATCCAGCTGCCCAGCCACTCAACCAGGCATAGCCAAGTTTACACACAAACTTAACTACTACAGTCTCCATTTAGCATCTCTTGTAAGGTTGGTCTGGTTTTAACAAATTCCCTTAATTCCAGCTTATCTGGAAATCTCCTAATTTCACCATCATATTTGAGGGACAATTTTGCTGGGTATATAATTATTGGGAGCTCTGGTAGCATGGTGCCTAAGGCACTTGACTACTAACCAGGAGGCTGGCAGTTCAAACCCACCATCCACTTCTTGGAAGGAAGATTGGGCAATCTACTTCCATAGTGATACTGCCTCAGAAACCCGAGGGGTCACTATGAGTCAGTCTGACTCAATGGCACATAACAACAAGAACAACAACAATATATAATTCTTGGTTGGAAATTTTTCTCTTTTAGGGCTTTATATATATCATCCCATTGTCTTCTCGCCTGCATGGTTTCTGCCAAAAAATCCAAGCTTAGTCTTATTGGTTGCCCCTTATAGGTAATTTTCCATTTTTCCCATGTTGCTTTCAGGATTCTTTCTTTGTCTTTGGTTTTTGTGAGTTTGATGATGATATGTCTTGGTGATTTTCTTTTGGGGTCTATCCTGTTCATTGGGCTTCTTCAAGGGATATATTCTCATCTTTCATCATACCAGGAAAATTCTCTTCCCACAAATCTTTAACAATTTTTTTTTGTGGTTTTATTTGTCTCTTCCTGTTCTGGAACTCCGATTACACGTAGATTATTTCTTTTGATGGTATCCCACATGAACCTTAGGCTTTCTTCATTTTGTTTTGATCTTTTTCCTGATTGATCTCTTTTCAAAGAAGTATTGAAGTATTTGCCTTCAATCTCACTAATTCTGTCTTCCATTGATTCAATTCTACTCCTTTGCCCATTCAGTGTGTTATTGATTTCTGAAAATTTAGTATTAATCTTCTGGACTTCTGTCTGTAGATTTTATATATTTCTAATTTTTTATTTATTGTCATTTTGTTCTTGTATTGTCTTTCAAAATTGTTCTAGGGTCTTCTTTGCATTTTCCTCAATTTTGTCAGTGTTTTCCTTGATCTGTCTCTCAATTCATTGAGGGTACCTAAATATAATTCTTTTGAATTCCT